GGCAGAGACAAGACGGGAGCGAGGACACAGCAGAGCGCCATTCAGGAAACCCAGCCTGGCCACTGTTTAAGCAGGGTCAGCACAGCTGGGCTCTCAGGCCAAACGTGACTTGCTGCCCGTGCTTACAAATGAAGCTCATAGAACCTAGCCCACCCTTCAGGTATGCTGTCTAAGGCAGTGCGGAGCTCATGAAGCCTGCAAAGCTGGGCTGTGCGGCCAACCCTTTCTGGGAGGTACCCTGGACTCTGCTCAACCCACTCCAGACCTTGGAGCTGAGCAGGACCGCAGACCCAACGCTGTGCCAGGTCCCTGGTGTTCTAAGCATAGTGACTCTGTTTTGCTTTTGACAAATACAAAAAGTAATTAATCAATAATAAAGAGTAAGTATAATTATCAAAATACTTGGATAACTGAAGTCACATTTTCAAAAGCAGTATTTTATTATGTGAAATTCTGTGTGGGAAAAGCACTACAAATTGAGGACTTAAAGTCCATGACAACAAACAATTTTATTTAGCAACAGTTCAAAGCACAGTGCCGAATGTACGCTAACCCCAAAACTTCATGGAAAGGAAGATAACGTACCAGGTTGTTGGAAAAGTCAACACAAATTTTTTCTATGGGTTTCTATGTAAAAATGTGTCATGACTTTTCTGACAACCCAGTAGAACGCATGTTTCTGAAAGTAACATTATCTTATTATTAAAAATGAAAGTGCCTCAGAGTCAACAAGACAGGCTCACAAGGCTGTGTCTGAGCAATCCCAGTCCCGGTGACACCAGCGCACGCGTCACAGCACGGCAAACTGCAAGCACCACCACCAGACCGGGCCAGGGCCAAGGTGAAGGCTCCTCACAGGGTCCGGACACAACAGACTTCACAGCAGAGACTGAGCGACATGGATGCCACAGGACATAGAACAGGACCAGAGGAGGCATGAGACACAGACCCTGATGGCTTGCTGCATAGAGATGCACAGAACCCAAGGTGGACAATTGCTACAACAGGCCGAGTTCACACCAGCACAAACCAGCTCTCTTCCCTGTCCTAGTCTCGCTTTCCTACTTTCCGAGGAGACTATTTTCTGTTTGGGCTAAATGATAAATAGTAGATATATGGTAAACTCCATGAAATTTACACTCAATTTACAAAAGGGTTACTTCTTTCTGAGGGATGTTCTGGGTGTTTCTAGGCCCCTCTATCTGTACTTCCCTTGCAAGAAGCAGGTCTTGCTGTGAGTGCAGGGGCCCTTGCTAACCCACGGACACAAACGGGTGCTCACCGTGTCATGGACGAGGCGTGTCCCCCTCTGCCTCGCCCCTCTTCTCAGAGCCAGGCCCTGACAGGCCTTCTGCTGCAGCACTCCCCCTTCTGTCACGGCCCTCCTCGGAAGGTCTTGCACCATACTTGCGTGCTTGGAGTCGAGCTCCTGGCTGGTAAAGCTGCAAGGCCAGCCGGTCCTGCCAGGAAGAATGCTGGTTACTCAAAGGCTGGCCATGCAGAGGGGTCGCCATCTCTCTGCACTGCTAACGCTTGGTAAGAATTAGTTAAAGAAAATCAGTCTTGTAGCTGAAAACCAGCCCTTTTCAAAGCACTATCTCAGAAAATAGGCATTTTGAAGGAAATAAAAAATTATGAAAAAATGCAGTTTATATTTAAAATAACTTGAAAGAAAGCAAAAGTTGGTATCTGGTAAAATTCTATTGCTCAGATGAGGAACACTCTGGAAAACACACTATGGCATTACACTCCTAGTCTAAGGGGTGAAAATGTCTCAGTCGCTCAGACAAATACAGGTCTGGGGTAAGAAGAGGCATGGAACCTCAGAGGGTTGGCATTTTAGATCTGCAAACTAAGGTATGAATGGCAGTAATGAAGAATGTCCACGTGGATTACTCCTGCCTGCCGTGACAGTGGGGACCTGTGCACTGTCCCCGTCACAGGAAACACGAGCCCTGTGACCTGTCCCGGTCAGCCTGAACCCTGTCACACACGTACAAGACCGTCCGGGCTCCGAACAGCTGGAGACAGAACAGCCAGGTCTGCGCAGGGCGCGTCAACTCTCAGCTCCGTGTGTCATGCTCTGTCATGAACAAAGGCAAAAACACAGGCCCAGCCAGGTTGCGTGGTAGTTAGGGCACCTGGATCCCACATGGCCAAACATGAGGTTTGAGTCCCGGACCCGGCAGCTTGAAAGACACACCGGCACATGGGTGAGTGTGCCTACAATCCTGAAAGGAGAATGGAGAAGGGACTGTGGCATGGTCATTCCTCTGGGGGGTGCTTTCTCTTTCTCCAGCATGCACCTGATAGCAAACTTAAATAAAAAAAAAATAATAAAGTCAATGAGGACAACCACTCCTCCCTTAGAGAGGCCAGCCAGTTTTATCCACGCACTGAAGGGAAGATGAGGAGACAGACCCCAGACTTCCGGCTCAGCACACCTCCTTCACCCTGTGGCTCCCCTTAGAGATGCCACTGCAGCCTTCCACGGATTCGCCAGCTCACCTTTCCCACTCCTGGAATGCATGTGGAGGCCCCCAGCAGGACACCGAGGAGCTGAACTTAATTTCCTTAGCCTTAAAGCAAGTCTGGCAGTGAGGAGAGGGCAAAGCTTGCCAGGACAATGAGGAGGGGGCAAGGCTCGCCAGGACCGAGCCTTCTGTGTGGGCAGAGACGAGGCTGCCTGGGGCCAACGTGCACAGAGGGAGCCTGAAGAGAGTGCAGCACAACCCACTAGGCCTCCTGAAAAAGCAGCTTCACACCCAGAGTGCCTTGAGACCACCCCAGCACTGCTGACCCTAGAAACAAGTGACCCCCTCCAGCTGTGCAGATGCCCAGGTCCCTCACTGCCACCACTACAGCACGGTGACGCTCCAGGCTCATGCAAGCAACCTCCCCACCAGACCTGGTGAGGCTGAGGCAGCTGCAGAAGTCCCTGAAGTGCCTATGGGCAGCTTGTCAGAGTGAACCTGAGGAGGCTGTCTGGATGACCCCAAAGAGAATCGGATTGACTGGAGAAAGCCAGGCTTGGAGCCACGCACCACACTTCTCTCTCTCTCTCTCTCTTTTGGTTTTCACTATAGGGCACGTGCACTCGCCAGAAAGAGAGAGACAGAGACAGAAAGCGAGAAATCGTCCCCTAGGGGAGATGGCGACGCTGCAATCCCTTCTCTTCCATTCTCCTCTTGGGATCTTGGGCACGCATGCACGCACGCCCAGCGTGAGTTTAAGCCACTGAGCCCAGGACTTGAATTGCGATTGATTCCATGGGAGTCCAGCAACATAGCCATTACACCAACTGCTGGTCCAGTACACTTCTCTCTCTCTTTTTTAATTTAAATTTATTTATTATTATTTTCCAGTTTGATCAGGGAGACAGAGAGAGAAAAGGAAAGGGAAAACAAGCCACCAGGTCTGGAACTCGAACCGCAGTCAGTGGGCTATGTGGGAGTCCAGCGGCCTTAACCACCATGCCACCTGCCGGCCCCCAAGTACACTTCTCTGTATGTGGCATGTTTGACATGACAAATCACAGAGCTGACAACAGTGGCCAGGACGTGAGATAAAAGGAGGAACGCACTGAGTCCAGGACAGCCCTCAGCGTCTCAGCTCACTGGGAGGCCTGGGGCGAGCCTTGGAGAGGGGCCAATTCCACCCGCGCTCCTTCTGTGGGTGCCATGAGCTAAGAAAACCAAGTTCAAATTTCCAAAGGAAACGCTGTCCCCTGAGGGAGGGAGCTCTGACCCTGGCTGCTCACTGTCTGTGCAGAGCTAACTTTGGATGCTTTGTCATTTGATTATTTGCTGTTAGTAACCAGAACACACCACAAATATAGAAAGTCCCATGAACTATCCTCACTGCCCTAAGAGTAAACCTGGTGACCCTATTCTCAGACAAAAGGCACAGACGTGATATACATTAAATATATTAAATTCCCTGGTGAAAACTTGATTCTCGGAGGAAAGGTGATAGCTGGGCCTGACAGGCTGGGCTGTACCCTAAGTGAGCCAACCAGTAGGCCCCTGTCACACTGACCCTCAAAGTGGCAGCTCCCTAGGACAATCGCAGGCCAGCAGAGGACCTCCAGCCCCAGACAGGCTTTCCGTGTGGGTTACTACAAGGGTTTGGCTTAGACAAAAGCAGGGTAAGACTGCAGAAGTGCAGCTTGTGCTCTTAGAGCAGATGAAACCACCAGGGCGATCCCACGTGGGTAAGACCTTGCATGTCAGCCGCTCCCTCCTGGGTGCTGGACCACTGGCCCCCTCTGCAGGGCTGCTGCTGTCCTGGCTCCCCTTCTTCCCCTGGTCTGGGTCGAATCCTTTTCCCCATTTCAGCTCATCTTCATTCCTCCTGGAAAATGGGTCAGCCTCACAGTGCACTCTGCGCTTCCTGCTGCCATCCAGGCGGCAGCTCTGTGCTTCAAACTCTTTCTCTTGAAATCTTCTTCCCATATCCCTTTGTTCTTTGTCACTGTCATGCTGTGACCTGTAATTCGATATGGGCGATCAGTGCCCTCACGCACACTTGCTGATGGCTCCTGCTTTCCAGACCCCAAGTTCCCAAAGACACTGACACAGTGTGTGACAGCTGGTAGCGAGGTGGGCAGTCACAACAAGAATGTCTGCCACAAGGGCAGCAGGTGGCATAGTAATTAAGGTGCTGGACTCCCACATGGCCGACTGTAGTTCAAGTCCCAGATCCAGCAATGTGAAACTCACATTAGTCGTATGTGCGAGCATGCCCAAAATCCTGAGAAGAGAGTGGAAAAGGGACTGTGGCGTGGCCGACCCCTGGGAGGTGACCACTCACTTTCTCTGTCTCTCTGTGCTTCTACCAAGCGGATGGGCCCTTCAACAAAAATCTCCCTCAAAAAAAAACAGTTATTATGCTCGAGTGGCAGGATGTGAGAAGTGTCACGTGACGCCACTTTACATGGCAGGTGCTAGTTTTCACAGGGAGTCAATAACACTAGACGTGGCCAAGGCTCCCAGGAGCTGAGACAAGTGACCTTCAGGACACGGCCTGACCCCGTCGGCTTCACTTCTGCTCTAGGTACAGTGAAATGAGCTGGAATTCCATCATGCCAGACTGCATTCAAACATACACCAAACTACTAAATGAGTAGTAAGTAAATGATTCCCTCTTAGTTCATTTGTTTCTTAAAAGTGTTCCTCTCCACAAAACATGATAAAAAGTCCACACTCACACGCCGTCCTTGGCCCCTCCACACACAGAAAGGCGGGACTGCTGGGGCAGCGAGGGCCCGCAGCCACGGTGTGAAGCCATACCAAAACTACATGGCAGGCGCTGTGTCACCAACATGCGGGCCGAACCATGGTGCTCAGATCACGGACTTGGAGGGCAGCAGGTGGCACAGTGGTTGGATGCTGGACTCCCACATGGCTGACTGCAGTTTAAGTCCTGGACCTGGCAGCTTGAGAATCATGCTGGGCACATGCGTGCCCAGAATCCCAGGAGGACAGTGGAGGTGTGCCCCGGCCAGGGCCATCTCTCACTTTTCTGCTCACTGTCTCTCTAGTGAGTGCACACACCCTATGGCAAAAGCTTTTAAAAAAGAATCACAATTCTGATACTTACAAAAAATTAGCTTTACGAGCAGACTGACACACCCTCAAAAGAGGGAGACATACTTGGTCACAGCTCCATAAAAAGGGAGCAAGAGGTCGCGTACACCACTGTGGTTCTGGGAGTCGAGCCCAGTCCCTGACCCGTGGCCATGGCTGTGACCATGACCGTGACCGTGCTGGCCAACGCCCGCATCCTCCATCCAGAGCAAAGCAGCCTGTGCACTGGGACACTCAACAGGTGGGCAGAGGCCTGGGTCAGAGGGACCACACTGAGGTCCAGAGAAGGAGCCCAGCTTCAAGCGGCCCCAAGGACTCCTGACCAGGATCCAGCTGGTCCCTGTGGGCCCAGAGACCCCTGACCAGTTCCCGCCTGGTCTGTGACCTCAGGGACCCCTGCCCAGTTCCCACCTGGTCTGTGACCCCAGGGACCCCTGCCCAGTTCCCACCTGCTCTGTGACTCCAGGGACCCCTGCCCAGTTCCTGCCTGGTCTGTGACCCCCGCAGAGATGCTGTGTGGTGGTCGCACAGATGACTTCCCTTTAGAGGCTCACGACAGGGGAGGCTCAGGCTAGAGCAGCAGGAGGGAGGGTCCACAGCTGCTGGTCAATCCCATAGCAGAGGGACTACTTCAATAAATAAATAAATTACAGGTCTTAAACTTCTATTTCTCTCTCACAGGAGACTTGCCAGTTCTAAAAGATACATGTCTGTCACTAAACCGAAGGATGGCCGTGGCATCTCCAAACAGAAACAGACGGCACACTGGTAAATCCCATCTCCAAACAGAGGGCACACCGGTAAATCCCATCTCCAGACAGAAACAGACGGCACACCGGTAAATCCCATCTCCAGACAGAAACAGACAGCACACCAGTAAATCCCATCTCCAGACACACGGCACACCGGTAAATGCCATGAAGGACACTCACTGGAAAGACAGCTGGGAGTGATGCACAGCCACAGCGACCGGAGAGCCTTGAGGAGAAAGGGACGACAGAGAGCCCCCCGCTAAGGAGTAACAGTGTCCCCCAAGCTTAGGCTCCCGGGGGGTCGCTGCATCTCAAGGGTGACGTAAATCATGCACACTTGTTCTGACAAAGGACTCACCGCGGTGGCCCCACACCGGGTGTGATGGAGGAGCCACTGCAGTGGCCCCCAATGACGGATGGCCACAGAACAGCAGCAGCTCACCTCTCCGTGAGCCTGTCTGGTGAGCTCGCCCAGGGCCCACCCTGCATGGCCGTGCAGGAAGCACAGAGGTCCTGCGGTCCTTCTCCAGTGCCAGCTTCCTCTCCTCTTCCTGTTGGTTTGTCTGTGGTTGGTTCCTCTCCCTTTTCTGGTTTCTTAAGAAGCTGAGAAGTTAAAGTATTAGAAAAACACCACCTGAGGAACATACTGCAAACTAACATTGAACCCGAATGTCCTGAGCAGTGCAGAACACAGCCTGAGGCCCGAAAGCAGGCTCTGGTTCAATTCACGGTGAGCACTCACCAGAACATTTTCTAGTTACAAAAATACAGTGAGAAGATGCTCACATTAGTGGAAAGGAATGTTACAAACAGAACGTGCGCAGTGATCTGTGTGGGTGTGCACTCACACACCCCCAGGGGCAGTCCAAGAGGCTCTCCGCATCACGGGCTTAAATAAGTGACCGTTTCCAGGACAGGGCTGAGATGGCGTCAAAACCCTATAGACTCTAGTTTTTCTAAGATAAATATTTCTTCTGTAATAAGCAAAAAAGTTTTGAAGAATTATTCATTTAATTTCATTTGTTATTATTTTTTAAGTTGACCACAGAGAGACAGAGAGTGAGTAAGGAAAAGCAAGAAAGCAAGCCACAAATGGAATCATGGTTATGTCACTGGACTCTCACATAGCCGACTGTGGCTCGAGTCCAGGATCCATTGGCTTAAAACTCATGCCAGGGGTGTGTGTGTGCCCAAATCCTCAGAGAATGGGGAGGGACTTCGGTGTGGCTGTCTCTCCTGGGGGTGATTTCTCACTTTGTCTCCCTGTGTCTCTGGTAAGCACACGTTCCCTATAGCAAAAAATCTCTCTTAAAAAAAAAATGTTTTATGTTGACGACTTTCGAGATAACTTGTAGTTTAAAATGTTTACTACTCTCCTGGGACCAGTAGTTGGCGTGGTGGTTAAGGTGCTGGACACTCCCACATGGCCGACCACGGTTCGAGTCCTGGACCTGGTGGCTTCCTTTCTCACTTTCCCCCCCTCTCTTTCCCCCTCTGTGTCTCTCTCTGGTCAAATTAAAAATAAAAATGAGTGAATAAATAAAATTAAATAAATAATTATAAAAAAATGTTTACCACTCTCTTGAAACACAAGCAGTAAATGCTGACACAGCTGACATGATTTAGATTTCCTCCTGCTCTCTGCATGGCTCACCGTCAGACTCAAGTGCCCCATGCACAGCTGTCGCAGAAGCAGTCAGTGTACTCTGGAGAATTTTGGTCTCTCATAAAGTGAAGGTATTCTAACCACAGTGCAGCAAAACTATTCAGATTCATTCAATCAAGTGAATTCAGTTAAGAATAAAACAAAAACTGCAAGTCTAATACCAGATATTGTACCTCAGCCGCACACACCTCATTCTGCCCTATGTATCCGGGAATTTAAATTTTCTTTCAGATAACTGTCCCTCTAAAATGGCAACAGTGACATGCTTATAGCAGATGCCAAAGGAAGTGCCAGAGTCTGCCAGTCCGCTCACCCATGGTTCTGTGGGCCTATCAGCTGGTTTTGTGTGTGAGCCTATCAACTGTTCCTTTTTTGCACACATTTGCCAGAGAGAGACAAAAAGTGAGAAATCACCTCCCAAGAGAGACGGCCATGCCACAATCTTTTCTCCTCTGGGTATTCTGGGCACATGCACATATAACCAGTGAGTTTCAAGCCGCTGGGTCCAGGACTCAAACCATGGTTGACTACATGGGAGTCCAGCTCCTTAACCACCATGCCAGATGCCGACCCCCTATGAATTGTTTTTATGCGTAACATCCCTGACACCACATGTACGGTGTCTTCTTCAACTCTACAACCCATCTGGGTATCTCCCAGTCCTCAGCTCTGACCTGTCCCCCTGCCGCCCGGAGTGAGCAGAGACCTCCTTAGTCAAGGGCTCGGCCCACGAGACGTCCCACTTCAGACACTGTGGACCGTCTCGGGCTATCACAGTACTGCTGACCAAGAGGGCTCCCAGGGCCTGTCAGGTTTGATAGTTTACTATGAAAGCTCAGGAAGACACTTGACTTACGTTCCCGTTTATTACGAAGGGTACAGCTCAAAGCAGGAGACATGTAGGAGATCGCTCGGGGTGTGGGACAGACAGCACTCCAAGCACCCACTGTCCAGCAGCCCTGAGCTCGCTGGCCTGCAGGCTATGTCCTGCGGCATTTTTACTTTTTACATTTTTTCCTCTGACACTTTGTAACAGAGCTCTTGAGGGGCGCCTCACTGGCACGTGAGGTTCCCCTCACTCTGCAAACACCAAGGGCCTTCGGGTTGTTCCAGGGCTACGGTCTCTGCCAGGTGTCAGGAATGTGCTTGTGAATAACGGACAGGTCTCTGCACTGACGGACTCACACTGGCCACCACATGGGCTGGGAATAGGTGCAACTATGCACAGTGACAAAACTGTGAAAAAGGAGACAAACACAGGACAAGAGAACTTCAGGCAGCATCAAACACTACGGACGTCAACAGAACACGGGGAGGGGCAGAGACGTGCATGAGGGTGAGGGCCTGTGGAGTTCTCTGTGGGGCAGGACGGGAACTGGGACCCGACGACAGGAGCAGCAGGCACACCGGCATGCAGTGTCTATGTCAGTGGACACTGGCCACTTAGCTGCAGAGTCTCTGGGAAACAGAAAACAGCCGGATCGGTCAACCGGTCATGTTTCTCCTAACTGTTGAGATAGCCATGAGACTGCCTGTCTCAAACTTTAAGCTATAGGTACAACTTCTTTGGACCATTTCTCCACAGATTTTATTTTAAAAAAAAATTATTTTAAAGTTTGCTCTAGGGGACAGTGCTTGACAGACAAAGATGGGGGGAAAGTAGGAACTCCTCCCCCAAGTGGACAGTCATACTGCAATTCCTGCTCCTCCATTACCCTCTCAGGGCTTTGGGCACACACGCACACAGCCCTGGCATGATTTTCAAGCCGCCAGGTCCACTCAAACCGTGAGTTGCCTCCATATCATCTGCTGGCACTGTTACAGGGAACTTCACTCCAATGTTGTCACTGAGAATTACGTCCTACATTGAGTCTCAAGGAGCGGAAACATGGCTCCCAGCGTTATTTTCTGAGGCGGACCTGCCTTGGCCCATGAAGTGCTGGTCCCTGCAGAAGCCGGACAGACCATCTTTCTCTCTCTTTTTTTTTTTTAATAGGTTTTTGCTATAGGGCGCGTGCGCTCGCCAGACAGACAGAGAGACAGAAAGCGAGAAATTACCCCCCAGGGGGGATGGTCACGCCACAATCCCTTCTCCTCCATTCTCCTCTCGGGATCTTGGGCACGCACGCACACGCACCCAGCGTGAGTTTAAGCCACCAGGTCTGGGACGCGAACCGCGGTTGACTCCATGGGAGTCCAGCGACATACGCCAACTGCTGGTCCCCAGACCATCCTTCTCTGACAGCCTCAGCTGGGTCCCTCAACTTCGACTTCATCATCAGACCATGCAGTTTTAAAACTACAGGAAATTACAGTCAGCAAGTGGCATGAAGGTTAAGGCGCTGGATTCCACATAGCTGGCATCATGTAAGACCTGGACCAGTGGCTTGAAGACCACACTGAGTGCCTGTGCATGCATGCCCCAAATCCCAAGCGAACCAAGGAGGAGCGACTGCAGTGTGGCCATTCCCCTGGGGGTGATTTCTCATTTTCTATCTGGTGACCACATGTGCCCTATGGAAAAAACTAGGAAGAAAGTGGGGCCATGTGACCCATTTGGCCAGTGAGAGGCGGGCAGAAGCAACGGGAGTCCCTTCCACGTGAAAGCTTTCAGCCTCTGCAAAGTCTCGTGCTCTGCATGCTTTTCCTGCCACAAAGACTGACGAGGCAAGCACTGAGGTAGGGTCCCATCAGCCTGGGTCACTACACAGATGCCACAGCATCACCCCATCTGCCAGTGCAGCGTGGGCATGTGACAGGAATGAGAGTGAACTTTGGCGGGTCAGACTGATGAGGTTCTGAGGCCACACATTACAGGGCATCGCCTAGCCAGTCCTGACTGATACAATGGTTTCGGCTTTTGTAGAGACACTGTTAAGAAACTGTTCCTTTGGGGCCAGCAGATGGCTACTGGTTACATCGCTGGACTCCCAGGTGGTCAAAAGCGGTTTGAGTCCCAGACCCGGTGACTTAAAACTCTCACCAGGTGCATGTACATGCATGCCCAAAAACCCAAGAGGAGAATGGAGGAGAAGGGACTTCAGTATGGCCACCCTCACAGGGGGTGATTTCTTGCTTTCCGTATATCTCTCTTCTTCTCTCTGCCAAGCAAATGCACCATACAGCAAAAATCTCTCAAAAAAAGAAAAGAAAAGAAATTACTCTCTCAAGGTCAGCAGTTGCCACTGTGGTTAAGGCACTAGATTCTCACATGGCCAACTACAGTTTGAGTCCCAGACTCGGCAGCTTGAAAAATCACACTGGGCACACATGTCCAAAATCCCAAGAGAAAGGAGGAGGGATTGCAGCATGGCCATTCCCCATGTGGGTGATTTCTCATTCTTCCTTTCTGTCTCTCTCTGGCAAGCACACATGCCCTATGGCAAAAAGCTCAAAAAAAGATATTGTTCTTTTCTTCACTCGTGAACTCCATGGGAAAAATTATTTGAGAGCAGTTCCTAGAAAAAGCTTTGCTTCCCTTGAATAATGTGTATGTCTTCTTTTCAGATAAAGAAAACTATGTTTCTGACCAAGTTCCTGTGTCTTGACTGCTGAGAGTATCAGAAACTTGTATGGCTCAATTCTCTCTTTTCTAATCTGCACATGCACCCTGAATGTGCACACATGCATCCCAAGTCCTGATGTTTTTTTTTCCTTTATTTATACACTTTTATTGAATCCCTGTAAGGCACCTTAAATCCCTTATGGAGATAAACACAACGATTGATATCTAAGTTTAAAAAGTCGGGGGGGAGGGTGGGGTGGTGGCAGGTGGTGGTTAAGGTGCCGGACTCCCACATGGAGAATCACAGTTCGAGTCCCAGACTTGGCGGCTTGGTCTCTCACCTTCCTTCTCTCTCTCTCCCTGCCCCTCTCTGGTCAAATTAAAATAAGTAAATAAATGAATAAAGCTAAATAAAATAATTCTTAAAAAAAAAGTCACCTGGGGGGACCAGCGGACAGCGTAACACTTAGGTCGCTGGACTTCCACATCGTTGACCGAGGTTCAAGTCCTGGACCTAGTGCCTTGAACCTCATGCCAGGTGCGTGTGCTTCCATGCCCACAATCTTGAGAGGAGACTGGAGGAAAAGAGACTGCCAAGTGCCCATTCCCCCTAGGGGTTATTTCTTGCTTTTAGTCTCTGTCTTTCTGGTGAGCACACGTGTTTTATAACAAAAGTCCCTCCAAAAAAAGTCATCTGGGGACCAGCAGATGGTGTAATGGTTATGTCACTGGACTCCCACGTAGTCAACCACAGTTCAAGTCTTGGGCCCAGTGGCTTAAAAACTCATTCCGGGCACATGTGCATGCACATCCAAAATCCAGAGAAGAGAATGGAAGAGAAGGAATTGTGGCGTGGCCATCTCCCTGGAGGGTGATTTCTCACTTCTGTCTCTCTGGTGAGTGCACAGACCCCATAGCAAAAATCTCTTTAATTAAAAATAAGTCATCTGAACAAAGTAAGAAGAGCTGACCCCAATCCTGGCCAGTTTACATAGAGAATCTCTCTCCCTATATATTAAATCCCCCTCATAAATGAATGCATCTGCTCTAGAGAAACTGGGCAACAAATACAGAAACCCACTACTGCGATGATAAAGGAGCAGCAGAACTCGGTTCTGTGAGCCGGCCTTCACCTGGGTAGGCCAACCCAGTGCTTTCTGAAAGCTCGGTTTTCAGCCACAAATCTTTTCTTCCCATAGCTTTGTAGTTAAGGGAGGTGGGTCCCACAGGGCTGACTGTGATCTGAGTCCTGGCCCTGGCTTGAGACGCATGCTGGGTGGAAGTGTGAGCAGCAGAAATCCTGGGAGGATGAGAAGTGAAGGAGGGACCAAGGCATGACCCTGAGGGGTGCATGCTCCTTTGTCCTCTCCCTGGAGAGCACACACCCTGCTAGGATTAGAAAATAAATAAATAAAAGGAACTACAGCAATAAAAGGTTAGGTCAACTGGAAATGATTTTAGAGTTATAACGAGCTAAAATACCCAAAAGGTAAGATTAGTACAACAGAACCATTTTGAAAACTCTTCCTCAAAATCACCTTAATCTTTACTTCCTTCTCAGCAGCCAGCTGTTTATCTGCCTCTTTTCGTCTGCATCTCTCTTCTTCTCTTCTTTTTCTTTTTTCTTCACCTCTCAAGCGTTTTTTTTCTAACTCCCTTCTCCTTCGTTCTTCTCGCTTCTCCTCTCGCATTCTCTAAAGATGTGGAAGTGTGTATGTATACGTCATCTGAACGGCAGAAGCAGGGAAGTTTTCCACAGGGGAAAGGCAGACCTACCTGCTTTTCTAATTTTCGATTTTTAATATATTCCAAAAGAGGTGTGGTTCTTCTGGCTAAAACACAAAAATTGTAATGTAGTATTTAACTCCTAAAATAGGGTTTCTTTTATTTTAAATACTTGTTTTCAACTTAATCTTTAAAATAATAGGGGAGGAATATTATTGTTTACATATACAAGAACATACACTGTATCCAAAGGCTCTTATTCCATTACTATGAAATAAGTCAAGGAACTTGGAGGTACCAGTAAGTTTAAATACTCTAGACATGTAATTCTCAATTCTTAAGGAGATGTTAAAATATTATTCACAAACATAGTATAAAAGTAAAATTAAGGGCCAGCAGGTAATGTGGTGGTTCCGGTGGCTGGACCCACATGGCTGACTTCACGGTTCCAGTTGTGGGCCTGGCCGCTGAAGATCAAGCTGGGTGGTGTGCGTGCATGCGTGCATGTATGCCCAAAATCCTAAAAGGAGGATGAAGGAAAAGGGAATGTGGTGTGGCCATTCCCCCTGGGGTGAGTGACATACGCCCTGCAGCAAATCTTTAAAGTAAAGCCAGTACAGTAGCTAGGCTTCCCCACTGCCACAGTGACCTCGCATGTACCTGCAAATGTCTGCAGTCTAATTAAATAACATACATTCACTCTGAGTCAACACACAGTCTGGGAATTTCTTCCTTCCCCCTCTTCAAATACATTTTTTCCCCTTTTAGTTTTTCTTGCCGTAAAGTGCATGCTTTCACTGGAGAGAGACAGGGAAAGGCAGAAAGAAGGAAAGTGATGAGAAATCCTCCCCACGCCCGGCCAGGGGATGGCGATGCTGCAACCCTTCTCCTCCACTTTCTTTATGGAGAGTTCTTAATAGACATGGGAGAGTTAATAAAGAGGGTCTCAGATGGGCCTCGGTGACATGCACAAACCCGCTCAGGGTGAAGGCCCAAGATCAAGCCCCGTGAACTTTCCTAGCAGCCCAAGCACTCTCTCATATGGAAGCTCCGACCACCCTCTCTTGGCTACCTGGCTGCATATCTGTGCACTTCTCACGTCCCACTACAGGGAGCGGAGCAGCCCAGGGCATCCTGGGTCTTCTCCCAGCTTGGAGTCCACATCCAGGCCACCCACACCACCTGCTGCAGGCAACCATTTTTAAAATACACGCTTTGGGGTAGGGGTGAGGCTGGATTCAAACCAGAGTCTGCTCTGGCTGGGTCTGCTCAGCAGGCTTGGTATATATTTTTTAAAGAATTACTTTATTTAACTTTATTTATTTATTTACTTATTTGTTTTAATTTTATCAGAGAGGGACAGAGTGAGAAAGAGAGAAAGTGAGAAAAACAAGCCACCAGGTCTGGGACTCAAACAGTGGCCAGCCATGTGGAATCCGGCGCCCTTAACCACCATGCAGAGCTTCTTACAGAGCTACCCGACCTCGCTCACACGTGAAGGGCACACCTGAGGGACACTACAGAGCTACTCGACCTCGCTCACACGTGAAGGGCACACATGAGGGACACTACAGAGCTACTCGACCTCGCTCACACGTGAAGGGTACACCTGAGGGACACTACAGAGCTACTCGACCTTGCTCACACGTGAAGGGCACACATGAGGGACACTACAGAGCTACCCGACCTCGCTCACACGTGAAGGGCACACCTGAGGGACACTACAGAGCTACTCGACCTTGCTCACACGTGAAGGGCACACATGAGGGACATTACAGAGCTACCTGACCTCGCTCACAGGTGAAGGGCACACATGAGGGATATTACAGAGCTACCTGACCTCGCTCACACGTGAAGGGCACACCTGAGGGCTCCTGAGGGACACGTCCAAGACTACCCCACAAAGACCCCGGCTCCAGCTCAGATGTGAAGCTCCATCCCCGACAGTGAGACGGGATCGCCCCATGCCTTCCCCACTGCTCCATGGCAATACTGTAACTGCTGTTTTTAAGTTTTTGCCACAGGGCTCATACAGTCACTGGAGGGAGAGAAATGGAAAGGAAGAAATCCTCGTCCCTGGGGATGGCTACCCAGCATTCTCTTTCCTCCATTCTCTTCTCACAGCTCTGGGAATGTGCGCACATGCACCCTGCATGACTGTCAATCTGCCAGGTCCAGGACTCGAGCCACGGTCAGCTGTGTGGGAGTCCAGCATCGTAACCACCACACCACCTGCTGGCCCCTCACTGTAATTTTTTTAATGATAGAGCATGAACACACAAAGAGAAAGGGGAGAAGGAGAGAGAGAAGCACTTCTGACAGTGTCTCATCACACCACAATCCCTTTCTGCGGCCCTTCAGGTCCTTGGGACCCTGGGACCCTGGGTTCTCGTGTGCATGCGTGCTGCCGTTTGGGCCAGCAAGGACTGGAACCCAGTCAGCCACGCAGCTTCAAGCTTTGCAGGGCACTGTGTTACTGTTACAGAGGCTGTGCCCAGAAGCACTCTTTTTTTCTTAAATATATATTTTTCTATTTATTTCTTGTGGTATTTGGGCTGCTGGGTCTGGGACTTGAACGACGGTTGGCCATACAGGGGTCCAGCAGCTCAACCACCATGTCACCTGCCAGCTCGGAAACACTAACTGCAATCTCATGTGCTGTGCACCAGTAACGCTCAGCAACATTCTCAGATGCTGCCACCTTGCCGTGCTTTAGACACAACTAGAAGACACCGTCTACTTCTGCCAAGCCTGAAACAAGCTGATTTTTTTAAGGGAGATTTTTGCTATAGGGTGTGTGCACTTGCCAGAGAGACAGAAGACAGAAAGCAAGAAATCACCCCCTGTGGGGATGGCCATGCCGCAATGCCTTCATTCTCCTCTCGGGATCTCAGGCATGCGCACGTGCCCGGTGTGAGCTTCAAGCTGCCAAGTCCAGGACTCGAACTGCAATCAACCAAATGGGAGTCCAGTAACGTAACCATTATGCCCTCTGCTGGTCCCCAAGTTAGTTTTTTACCATAATCACTAAAAAGAAGAAACACACACACACGCGTGCACTGAATAAACACACAGCTCAGTAAAGAAGAAACACACACACACGCGTGCACTGAGTAAACACACAGCTCAGTAAAGAAGAAACACACACGCGCGTGCACTGAGTAAACACACAGCTCAGTAAAGATGAGAGGGAGTGAGCAGAGCAGACCGAGGAGCTCCCTTGTCTTCGCCCCCATCTCCCCCAGGAGGGTTTCTGGGTTGGTGGTCCTCTCTTCCTCCACACAGTACATTTCTAAAAACTTCTTGTATTCTGGATCTGCAAGTCAGAAAAGATAAAAAGGAAGAAAACCAAATATATTCTTCCCTAACTGTAGCAGAGGAATTACACTGGACAGTGAACTTAATCGGCAGTTTCATCATCCAGCATTCGAAAAGAGCTCACCATCTTCAATACTTCCAGTCTTGGCATCTTTTTTCTTCAGCTTCTTTTTGGCTACTTTCTGGAATGGAGCAAACTCCACCACTGCAGGGTATTCCAGGCCTTTAATAAAAAACATATTCCATGGGACCAGCAGTTAGTGAAATAGCTATGTCGCTGGACTCCCACGTAGTCAACCACGGTTCGAGTCCCAGACCCGGAGGCTTAAACTCACACTGGGCACATGTGCGTGCGTGCCCAAGATCCCAAGAGGAGAATGGAGAAGGGATTGCGGCGTGGCCATCCCCCCTGGGGGGTGATTTCTCACCTTCTGTCTCTCTCTCTCTCTGTCTGGCAAGTGCACGCGCCCTATAGCAAAAATCCTCTCCCTCCGCCCCCCCCAAAAAAATAAAAACCATATTCCAAAATCCATTCTGAAATTCTCCTACAATCATTTTGGAAAATAATGGTCTAGCTTACTCAAGGATCAAGTGTAATGATGATACATATCATTACTGTTTATTGGGTTGTCAGAAAAGTCATGATGGGGACCAGCAGTTAGCGGAATGGCTATGTTGCTGGACTCCCATGTAGCTGACCGTGGTTCGAGTCCCGGACCCGGTGGCTTAAACTCACCCTGGGTGCGTGTGCGTGCATGCCCAAAATCCCTAGAGTGAATGCGCCCTATAGCAAAAATCTCTCCAAAAAAAGAAAAAGAGAAAAGTCATGACACATTTTTGCATAGAAAAATATGTCATGACTTTTCTAATAATCCAGTATAACTTAATTATATTTTTAAACGAGCAAGTCAACTCCAGACTTAAACAGAGGATGAGTGGGTGGCGGGAGGAGTGGGTGCACATGCATGCTTGCAATTCCAAAAGGAGGGAGGAATGGAGAACAGGGGATGCAATGTGGCCACCCTCCCTGGGGGGTGCTTTCTCACCCCTTGTTTCTCTCTGACAAACACATGTGCTTAGAGCAAAATTTTTAAAAAGTAAGAATTAAAAAAACCATGAGACCTAAAACAGTAAAACCTTCAGCATGGCCTGGTGGTGAGGCAGCTGGATCCCCACATGGCTGACCACGGTTCGAGTACCAGACCCAGTAGCTTAAAACTCAAACCAGGCACCCGTGCGTATGTGCCCAAGATCAATGGAGGAGAAAGGACTGCGGCATGGCCATCCCCCTGGGGATGATTTCTCAATTTTCCTCTCATTGCTTCTGTCTCTCCCTCTCTCTCTGGCAAGTGCACATACCTTAAAGCAAAAATCTCTGGAAAAAAAAAAAAAAAAGGCTTCATGATTTTGGATTTGGCAACAATTTCTTGGATATGACTCCAAAGGCCCAGACAACTAAAGAAGAAATAAGCAACCTGTACTTTATAAAAACTATATATAGGCCAGTCAGTGGGGTGGTGATGGAGACAGCTGGGTCCCATATAACAACGGTGTGGCTCCAGTCCTGGACCCAGTAGCTTGAAAAACACACTGAGTACATATGTGCATGCCCCAGGCTCCGCAAGAAGAATGGAGAAGGGACTGCCATGTGGACACATTCCTGGGGGTGCTTTCTCGCTTTCCTCCTCTCTCTCTGGCGAACACATGTACCTTATAGCAAACATTTTAAAAAATTAAATACTACCATGCATAAAGGACACAATCAGTAGAGTGAAAGGGTGACCTAAAGAATGGGAGGAGAGATCAGCCAATCATCTATCTGATACAGGCTGACATCTGACTAGCAAGAGAACTGTGACTCAACAACGCAGAGCCAGATATGACCAGCAAGCCCCCACATTCTAGAAAACATATTCCAAAAATATGCAAACTAACCTGATTTTAGAACCTATAAAGGTGAAGTTCACGTATCCAGAACACTTACATGAAATAATTACTCTAATAAAAATACATACATCGGATATCATTACACAGAAATTCTGGAATTCTTTGGTTTATATATATTGGGTCGTCAGACAAGTCATGATGTGTGTTTCTATGCAAAAAGCATCATGACTTGTCCGACGACCCAATAACTTTTCATTTTTATCATCAGCAGTCACATTTTTTACTATCAAATATATTCAAACTGTCTTAGCTTAATCATTGAAAACTTTGTTAAAAATCAGAACTGCTCTAGCAAATCATAATACAGAGATTATAATAAAGAGCTTTTTAAAAAAATCAATGATCCGACCTCTACTGTCAATGAAGACGTATCCATCGAAACGATCTCTGAAAAGAAGGATGTCGTCAGGGTTCCTAAAGTTAACGTACGCTCTGGAGTAGAGGTGAGGGTGAAGACTGAGGAAGAGAAGAGGCGACAGCGAAGTGGTCAGCAAAGACACAGGACCCCTGTAACATTTCCTCTCACTCTTTTTTCTGAACATAATATACCACTTCAGATAAAGTTTTTATGCCAAAGAATCTCTCAGTTGTTTACAACAATCTGAGGAGGGGCTGGCAGGTGACGTGGTGGTTAGGGGAGCTGGACTTCCACATGGCTGACCTCGGTTTGAGTCCTGGACCTGGTGGATTGCCTTTTCCCTTTCTCTCTCTCTCTCTCTCTCTCTCTCTCTCTCTCTCTCTCTCTCTCTGTCTCCCTCTGGTCAAATTTAAAATAACAATACTGATAAATAAAGGAAATGACTCTCAAAAACAATCTGGAGATAAACTTTAGCAAAACTACAAAAACAAAACAGACAAACCATAACTGAGATCTTTTTAATGACTTGAGAGAGACACTTTAGGTCAGCTCTCCCACTGCTCAGAGCCAGGGTTGAAACACTATTCTTCAGAACTTTAACAAAAAAGCAAGGTTATTCAAAGGTCATCCCCAACACACCACGATCAGAATGTAAAGCCAATCATGACACATTCAAAGAAAAAAAATAACCCTGTAAAAAGATTCTTTACTGATTTAAAAGTTACATGGGATGGGGTCTATAGGAAGAACTAAGCTTTCCTCCTCTATCTCAAAGCCATCGATTTCCTTTATGCACGAGAACTTCTGAGTCCACTTCACAGATTAGAACCCCGAGGCTCCAGGAGGCCAGGTGCCTGCAGTGGGTGCAGTTTGTCCAAAGGTGGGACTGGGCTTCTAAACTGGGACACGAGGTCCAGGTCTGTCCTCTTCTAACTGTACCAGTTTTTCTAGACTCTAGTCATTTGAAAATTACCTGGATGCCTATGCATTTATCCAAAGAGGAAAGTTTACATGACTACTGTAAGAAATGATAATGAAGACAGCAAGTATAAAGACATAACAAACACAGTGACAGCCACTGAGTTCAGGTGAGAATCACTTGCTGATCGCTATGGAGTTATGCCCTGCTAGAGGCTAGGAAGGGTCTGTGTTGTAGGTAGCATCACCATGGTCAAGTGGACTAGAAATATCTAACTGGGTGGAGGTGCTTGTGACAGTAGAGCCCAGGAGGCTGAGGGCTGGAGCTGCTTCTCTCCCTGGTGTCAGCATGGGCACATCCACTAGGGAAAATGCATCCAGACGTACAGGGTTCACTCACTTTAGTGTGCCTTAATACTTTAGAAAGCGGCATGAAATAAGGGTTACTGACATCCGAGACACGTAATTAAGTTGTATGTTTCTTCTTGCAATCTGACAGTGCTAGGAGAGGCAAGTTCAAAATTTTTATCTTAGAGAAACATGAAGGTCTGTAATGCAGAGGACTGGGGCTGGCAGGTGGTGTGGCGGTTAAGGGTGCTGGGATCCCATGTGGCCAATTGCAGTTCGAGTCCTAGACCCGGCAGCTTGCTTTCTCACCTTCCTTCTCTTTCTTTCTGGTCAAATTTAAATAAATAAAGTTAAATAAAATAATTTTAAAAAGAGAGAGAAGTGGGACTAGCAGTTGGTGTAATGGCTATGTTGCTGGACTCCCATGTAGTCGACTGCGGTTCAAGTCCCGGACTCGGTGGCTTAAACTCATGCCGGGAGCACGTGTGTGTGTATCCAGGATCCCGAGAGAAGAATGGAGGAGAAGGGACTGCAGCGTGGCCATCCCCCCAGGGGGATGATTTCTGGCTTTCTGTCTCTCTGTATCTCTCTTTCTGGCAAGTGCACACACCCTATAGCAAAAACCTCTCCAGAAAAAAAAAAAGGAGACAGAGAGAGAAGTAATGCAGAGAACTGAAAGTGTGTGCTGATTTCTAGGTGTACCTGGGAAGGAACAGGGGAAGAAGGTAGCTTCTGTCACCTGACACCTGTCAGGAGTTTCTTACACACTGTGAAGGTGGGGGGGTGTTGCAGCTTGCACTTTGAGACTGTCCATGTATGCCAGGTGGAGTCGCCGTCTCACTGGTACTCTGAGACTATGTATGTGTGCATGTGGGCATCAGGCAGGCTCACCTTCTCACTGACACCCTGCGAGACTGTGCAGGTCAGACGGGGTCGCCGTCACAAATACTCTGGGACTATGTGCACGTGTGTGTTAGGCAGAATTCCTGTCTCACCATCACTCTTGGAGACTGTGTGTGCACGTGTGTGCCAGAGTCTTCGTCTCACTGGCACTCTAAGAGGCTGTTTATGCACATGGGTGTGTCAGGTGGAGTCTGTCACTGGCACTCTGCAGGACTGTGCACACCTGAATACACGTGAGTTAAGCAAAGCCTCTGTCTCACTGATACGCTGATAGATTGTGTGTGTGTGCAGGTATGTCAAGACAGGGTCTCTGTCTCAGCGACACTCTTAGAAACTGTGCACACAGGTGTGTGTCAAGCGAGGTCTTGTCGCACCAGCACTCTGAGACAGCGTGCACACGTATGTCAGGCAGGGTCTCCTTTCATTGGCACTCAGAGACGTGTGTGCACGTGTGCGACAGGTAGGAGGTCTCGCTGGCATTCTGTGAGACTGTGTGCGTGTCGGTCAGGATCTCCCCTTGAGCTGGGGCTGGGGCTAGGCGTCCAGGCCAGGCAGGTTGCTCCTCACCTGAGGTCAGCGGCAAAGAACTCGAAGTAGTCGTGCGCAGGCAGCGGGTACAGCTGCTCCTCCAGCTGCTCTTTGGTGAGGCTGG